ATCACATTCAGTAAATCATAACCGTTCCAATGATATCTCACATGAGTCATCTTGCATAAAGTTATGTCATATTCATATCATAACCGTATTTTCATAAAGAATATGGAATGGCACGTCACAAACATTTTAGTCTATTTTCAGCTGAAATGGTTAGATATTGCTTGAAGATGATGATGGCAATTGTTTTGTCAGAACAAACATCTTGTTTTAACCCAAATGTACACCGCTGGTGGAATTTCTGAAGCAGGAACATCTGAATTGTTGCAGGTCATGGGAAATTTTTAGAATTTTTCCCCCCCATTCCACGAAAGTTAAACTTGGTTTGGACTCTTTTGACAAATCAGTAATAAAAGTAACAAGATCAATCACTGCCGCAAAAATGAGAGGGAAGGATTGCAGTGAAGCTTTTAGGTGATGGTTTGTTGCCTGATATTAGCACCTTGACATTGGATAGATTGGTGGTCTTTGCTTTGACATAAATATCTGGACTTTTAAATTTGATCAGATATGTGTATTGTGGTCAGTGGTGGTGGAATAAGTATTTGTAATACCATTATAAAGGTTTCTTTCTTTTTTTTTTTTAATTCCGGTGGGAATAGATTTTATATTTCTATTTAAATGAACATTTGCTCAATGTTTGTAACCCAAACATGGTAGCTTTGTGCTAGTGTATGCAAACTAGAAACAGATTGGGGGTATTTCTTTACTATAGGGACTATATGGTGTTATAGTTCTGCTGACATAACCCCATAGCATAGATGCAGCCTGCACTCATGGAAGGGGTTTTCCTGAGCGACGGTAGCTAGGTCACTGGAAGCATTCTTCCATCGGTCTAGCTCCATCTACAGTAGGGTCTAGGTCGGCATAGCTACATTGCTCGGAGGCTTGGATTTTTCACATTGCTGAGTTACATATCTATGTCGGCCTACATATTAAGTGTAAGCCAGGTCTGGGTGAAACTAGACTTCTTGTTGTTCAAACTGGGGGGGAAGAGGGTGTAAACAGAATAAATAATGAAAAGTTAATATAGATTTTGTTAATGTTCTTTTTTTAATGATCTAAGCTTGCTGTTGCTACCATAAGTATGGAAATTTGGTTTTTTTTTTTTAAGTATGGGGTTTTTAATGTGATTTTCAACCTGAATGTCCCTTTAACAATGACAGCATGGGCCCATGAGCTTGTAATTTAGTAATCTGCTTTCCAAAAAGCTTAGTTCATTTTCCAGAATGTATATTGCTCTTTGTCTTTCTCCCTGTCTTCTCTCTTCCTTCCTTTGTCTATTTTCAAGTACCATCCCTCTTGGCCATCTCTGTCCTCTGCAGATAACTCCTATCTTACCTATCATACTGTCTGATCAGTTCTTTCCTTTCCCTTTACATATATGTAGGTCCCCAGATATTTCCTGACAAACTAAGTGCTGATTAGCTGAATATAGCAAGTGGAGTGTTGGGAAATCCCAGAGGGCTATGCATCACCCGTTTTAAACCAGTATATCTCCCCTTTTCTTTACTGTCTGTGTAGCTACAGGATTCTCCAGTAGTCCGCTTCCCCGCCCCAACATCTCTGACATTTCAGTGATGATAGAAATAGTAATGACTGCTGTAACTTAGACTGTGGCAGTGCTCAAAAACTTCTAGGTGTTTTCCATGCACAGAGGAAGTCGTGGTCCTTTCCTCAAAGAGTGTACAGTTTAAAAAGACAAAGACAGAGGAGGACTAGGGGGAAGGATGCATTTATATGGTAGGCTCATATTTTATTGGTTACATGTTTACTACTTGTTTCAGTTTCCATCACTCCCAAGTTAAACATGCTAAATTTCCCTCCATCTTATTCTCAACACAAACCAATTCACCTTTAGCTTTCTCCACCCCACACACCTGCCAGCTTCAATTCTAGTGTCTTTATATCCCTTCTTAACATTTGCCTCCCCTTCCCTCAACATGAATGAGCAATTCATTCAAGATAAATTGATGATCAGCTGTTTAGTTTCACCTTTGCAGTGAAATATTAATATGGAGTTTATATAGAAAAAAGGTTGGTTGGCCCATGCAAGAAGAGTCAAAATCCATGTTGTGGTACCACTTCAATGAAAATATATTCCAGAATGTCTGAAAAGATGCTGCGAGTCCCATCCGTGGCACTTTTCAGGCAGCCTGATTATCCATATACTTTCAGTGTCTATTGTGTCTGTGCACTAGTGCTGATTAATGCACACTTTAGGGTTCATAGGAGGCATGAAGCAACACACCCAAGGTGGGCAATGATCCATATTGTTGCATAATTTAGCAATAAGCCAAGTTATCATCTTGCATCAACCCAGTTAGGGAGTTGAGGGTGGTTCTGTAGCTAGGACAAATGGTCATGTTTATTTGGTGAATAAAATATATCTGAAATTGATAAAAGTCACTATATACAGTAAATCTGACCGCATTTACAAAGTTTTCCTCAAAGCACTCTGGTCCAGACATGCACAAATGAGGACAATGACACAGATGTAGTGCCTTGGCAAAGTAAGGATGCAGCTTTATTGAACAAGCAACAACTTCAACCTTAATGCCCCTGGGAAGATAGTCTTTCCAATTCTGAGGGGGGAGGCTGCCACCTTTCCTCTCTGTCTTATAAAACCAGCAAGGAAGGACCAGGTCAAAATAGCATCCCCCAAGCCAGATCACTTACAGGCCCTAAGACCAGCTAATTGAAACATCCTGCTGAAAAATGCCCTGCAAAATTGCTTGCTTTTGTAAAGCTCTTTGCTGCCGGCAGTGTGTGCTGAGATTGGCCCCTGTCCCATGCAAATTTGAAACCATCGCAATGATGACTGGCTTTGCTGGTGACTCAAAGGAGACATAGATTTCCAAGTCCTAACCACACCTAGGTTGGGAATCAGAGAGCACCACCCTACTAGTGCCCTAAACAGTACAGTTCAGCTCACCCTCCTGCAAGAAATCAGTACATACGTTAGTGAGGTTTAAAGGGGGCAGATTTGAAAAATAGGAAAAGGAAACCCCCTGTTATTGATCTCCTTATGCCCTGGAGTATGAGGGCTGAGATCTCTTGAAATTTTGATCTGTCCCAGTGTAACTACAAAGGCTGATAGCTTGTTATATACTTGGATGATAAACTCTTTAGGGCAGGAACCATATTTTTGTCCTGTGTTTGTACAGTTCCTAATCCTAGGGGGCCCTGGTCCATGACTGGGGCTTCGAGGCCCAAAAGTAATACAAATAATAAATAGTAGGTGTGTGGTGGTTGGAGAGTTCCTCGCAGTCACTAACCCATCCCTGCCTGAGGTGCTTCAAATAAATACTAGTTATAGAGACTATTGCTACGATACAGAAAGAAAAAAATTTCCCGAGATTAAACCAAACTATTGAGAGCAAGTACCAATTTCAGTAATGCAGCACCCATCCTACAATGTGCAGGAGGGTGGTTTGTATTACTTTGTATGCAACACAAAGGGTATCTAAAGTGGGAGAAGTGGAGGAGACAATGCATTTGCAGACAAGATTCTTCAATGTGTACTTTGGTAGATAGGGAAGCAATTAAAGGTAGTTCAAGGAGAACTCGCTTTAGTGGTTACACAACCAAAAGGGAGGCCCCCCCCCACCCCTCAACAAGGGTTTAAAGGCAATAAAAACTCCCATTACCTTAGTTCTCTAGCTAATAGTGACTGAATATACCCAGAATGTCCCACACCCTAGTGGGGGCAAGATCTGTACTCAGTGTCTCTGCTTTGCCTTGTTCATTACAGCGAGGTCTTCCTTTGCTGTGTACTGTAGCAGGGAGCAAGAGGCTGAACCACTTTCCCCCAATAGCTCATAAATCCAGCAGCAGTTTCAATGAATGGCCAGTCAGAAACCAGGGGTGCATGGGACAATGAGCAGTAGTTCACACCTGATTCAGGAGTCCTGCCTGTCCTGCTTAAGTTCCATAATAGCACTGCGATAGCCTGACCTGAGGGAGCAAGCTTCAGTCCCAGTGCTGAGGCAGAGTTTGCAGCAAGTGATTGTGTGTCATTGCTATTCCTCCCTCAGGAAAGAGAGATTCCCACAATTTCAACAGATTTTAGGGAATTACTTCATTTGAGTATTCTTGGATTAAAGTCTCTGCTTCTCTATTTTATATGCAGTACAGTACCCTGGGTTTGCTTAATGGGTATTTTAAGGCTATTCATAGAACAGTAACAGGGCATAGACAGTTTTTTCTTCTATCCGTTTTGAGGGAAAATAATCAGTCTGATCCAAGAATGTATAGAATAAAAGCTATCATAATAAACAACAATGACACAAAACAAAAAACACTCCTCAAGAAGTTTTAGAAATAAAACTCTTAGTAGTCTCTATTTAATCTACATAAAACAGATAGCTAAGAGTATACCTGCTTCTGAAGATTTGCAAATATTGTTAAACTCTCTGGGTGAATGACGCACCAACATGCACTGCATATTCCAGTAGACTTCCACAAATTGTGGTGGCAAAACGCTCACAGCACATGCTAAAGTATCATATTACTGTGGAAGCTGGAGAGCTGAGTGGAGCCAGGTGCTTTGGGAGCTAAGAGGAAAATTAACGTAAGCTCTGAAGTCAAGAGGCCTTCGTGTAAATGAGAATCAGGTTCATAATGTGCTATAATACAGGCTTACCCTGGCTATTGCAGGTCATCTGTAAGGGCCAATGATCTATCCTGTTAATAAGTAATTGAGGGGGAAGAGAAATCAGGAAATGGGGAGAAATTTTTGACTTGCCTGTGAAATATCCAGTAGAAATCAGTAACTCCTGTATATGGACTGATCTCCTGAGTCAGTGCTTTGGCTAACACTCCTCTCCTTTCATCAATAGGATGAGGGAGCAATGGGCCTAAATTGGTATGTTTCCTCCTTCTGTTACAAACAAAAGTGTGAGTGGGTTTTAAAACTTCATAAATTATTTTAAGTGTACGCTTTCCTTCAATTTAAAAAGTAGTTCAAGGAGAACTTTTTGTTAATTTTTATCTTCAAATAGAAATCTGTAATCTGGAACAGCAAAGAGAAGACTTTTGTCCGAAATTTCAGCTTTATCCAAGTTCTTCAAGAAGCCTACAACCACAAAATGAATTGGTCATCCAAGGCAATGTTGAAGCAATGAACCTGTCAGATTTGCCAACAGCCACCTCACTCAGCATTCAGAGTACTAGCACCCAGAATGTGTGTCTAGATCATATTATTGCCCCTTGTACTGCTGAAGAATCAAGGTAAATACAAGCTTCTTTTATATATTTTTCCTGGATTGAGAATATTTCACTATTATGGGTAAAATTCCAAAAATATGGAGCATTTCTGTGTAATTTAGAATGAATATAAGGCTGCTCGTGTGTTGGATTCATAAAAATGGTCGCCATGTTCTCCCACCCCTAGGCCAAGTCTCCTTCTGGAATCCAGTGTGTCTCCCACTCCTTTCAGCCGTTTCTCCTCAATCACTAATCCAAAGTTATTGTGGTGCTGATAAATATTTACATAGGGCTATAATAAACCCATACAAAACACTATTGAAATTTAATCAAGGCATGGTCACTGCCCCAAAAAAGTTAAAATCTGCATCAGACAAACATTGAAAATGAAGCTAACTGTAGAAAAGAAGGGGTAGCAAAATGAGGGGCAATGGTTAAAACAAAGTCTCTTTATGTCATAAATGAAGTTCTGACACTAATTACAATTGGTATCGGGCTGGGCAACAGGAGAGAGAGCACAGCAGTGTAGGCCACTTAAGAAAACCAAGGCAAAAGAAATGGGTCTTGAAAACGGGGCTTGAAGGAGGAGAGTGAGGCTGGGTGCACTGGAAGAGGGGCTTTCATTCACGAGTGAATTGAGTTGATGGGAATGAAGACAAGTGTAGGAAGAGGAGAAACCAAGGGAGCAATGGGGGTGAGGAGTGAGCAGACCACCTGGCATGAATTAGGGGAACAAAGGCAGATGGGAGGTGAGATGTAGGCAAAGCCTTAAAAGTGAGGATGAGGAGGACACTTTGTGGAAAGCACCCACAGAAGGAATCTAGGGGGCTATGGGAGAGGGAGGAATAGTCCGTGGAGTGAGAGAGAGATTATAACATGGCTACAAAATTGTGGATAGATTGAAGAGGGGAGGATCAGGGAGGCTGGGGATGAGGTGGTTATATTATAGTTCAGGTCAGAGAGAGGCATGGTATGTGAGCCAAGGTGTTAGCAACGGGGACTGAAAAGAAAGGATGGCTTTAGAAGTGATGAATGCTGGGATGTGAGAGGAGAGAGAAGTGAAAGAGTCAAATGCAACTCTTAGATGTGAAATGGGCAAGTGAGTAAATTGTCAGTAGCAAAGGTGAAAGGAGAGGCAAGTTGATATGTATTTACATCTTTCTGCCTTCCATGTAGATTCCCTCATATCTTTTTCCTGTGCTAATAACGCTTCCTGTGTTCGCCTTCATAATACCAACTTCTTACGTTGAAGAGTCCAGTTGAACTGATATCTGGTCCTACCACTTGCACAGCTTGCCTCTTGCTTCAGTGCAGGCTACCCTTGTTTGACATAATTGTGCTAACATGCTACTCAATATGGATGTCTCTGATAGAAAGTGGTGAACGGGCCCAAGAATCAACTGCGGTAGCCCTAGAATTCCATGCATGGTCCTCTCAACACATTCCAGGGGGCAGCTGATCTCTCCATGGCTCTATGGATCCAAGATTTGTTTCTTTGTGTGCTGGAGACAGGATCCATAGTTTCATCCTTGATCTATTCATGTTTATGCACAATAAAAATTTCTGGGGTCTATATATGTTAATCACTGGTTATCTTAATGCAGATATTCTGTAAGGCCTTTAGTAGACTTATCCATATTATTTTCCATTCTTTATCTTGACCTGTTTTGAGTCCTGTGATAATCTGTATTGCATTTTCATTATGATTAGAATGTAAAATATACCTTATGTAATCATGTGTGTATGTACTTATGAGAAACTCTGATTTATTTACTAGGGGTTAAATTTTCAAATGCACCCTCATGACTTTGGAGCCTGAATCCCATTTTCAAAAGTGACTTAGGCAATCAGGAGCCATTGACTTAGAAAGTCTCATTGAAAGTCAGTGGGACTGTAGTGCCAAAGTCAATGGGACTGTAACGTCTAAGTAAATTTTTGAAAATGGGATTTCGGCTCCAAAGACACTTAGGCACATTTGAAAATATTTTGCTAGGTCTTCAGCGGTCTGGGAAAGATCACCCTTGGTTTTCTCCTCTTTATTTTTGGGACATGTATTGTATTTGAAGATAGCGCACACAAGAAAAGTTGCAGAGTTGGTATGTCAAAGGTAATGGGTTATATTGTATAAAACTTAAGTTTTCTGTGCCTGTTACTTATAATCCAAGAATTTCTCCCTTAATCCATGAACATGTCTACATTGGTTCTGCATTAGAGCTACTAAAATCTGAGTTAACTGTAAATAACAGGTGACAGAGTAAAAGGAATTTTTAAAATCTTACTTTGAGTTGGGTCCTAGAAAGGTAGACTACAAGATAATATTTTGTAGACATTGGTATACTGTTAATGTAGCCTGAATTTCGGTCTGATTGGTATAGCAAGAGTGCCCAATTCAGTTTTTAACCAGGAAAGGATTTCACCCCTTGTTATCAGCTCCCTACAGTAGCTGGTACCAGACCTTAGTAGCAAAATAGCTACTACAAAGGTTCAGCAGTAAATTTCACCACATTGTATTCCAAAAATTACCCTTTCCAACTCCACCTTATCGCTCTTCTTTCCACTACTAAATAAATGCTCTTGGAATTGGTTGGTATAAAGTGGGGACATTCTGTGGTCTGATATAATATTTGGAATAACATAAAATCATTTTCTAGAATTCCAAAAAGATGTTTTCCTTTGTCTCATATCTTTTGAATAATTACATTTATTTTCGTTGAGTGGCCCAGTCTCTTGAAATATATATTTTAGCCTGAGCATAAATTTGATCCCCCAATATTTTCCTTACTTTATCACTCCAGATTAAGCTTATCTTTTTTGATATTTACTTCCTTTAATCATTTCCAATGTATAGACTTCATATCTTATTTAGCTTAGTTTATTTTATATACTAGCATTTTAATACATTTATTGTTTCAAATACTGCTGCTCTTGTAGGTTTAAAAGATGAGAAATAGGCATTGTCCAGCTCTATGGCTAATTTATAAATCCTAAATCTGTGATAGTTAACTATCAGATTTTGTAAACTTCAGATGCAGGTAGTGGATGTCTTGCTGAATGAGAGAATCTCTGTTCTATTGATTGATGAATTTTTTAATCTTTTTAAAAAAATCATAGTATTACAGAAAAACAAGGGAGAATGCTCTCTGACTTTATGACTTCTTGGAAGGAGACTGGAGACCTAGATAAAGAGACGAATATCGCATTCCTTTTGAAAGAATTGGATGCTGTAAGGGCAAAGAATAAAAAGGTACAATAGAGATATTCAGATTACAGTACTTGCTGTCCATTAAACCTTCATTTTAACCTTAGCTAATATAGTTTTACTAATTATTTTATTTTATAATCAATAGATCTCTTGTCATTTCTACTCTTAGTATTTGCTTAATGAATGTTTCCAAGGAAGTGAATGATCTTTTATTCTTTAACCTTTTTAATCAGTGACATCAACTCAGATATCATAGATATAGATGCAAAATAAGCATATCGTAGGACCATTCATTAACATTTTTCTAGGTTTCAGACAGACTTGTGGAGACTGGGGAAATTTAGAAACAGAAGGGCTAATCTGAAACCTATTGAAATTAAAGGGAAGACTCCCATGGTCTTCTATGAGCTTTGGATCAGGACCCACACTGGGCTAGTTTCATGTCAGTCATTCACGTTAATGATTGGGAGATCCAGTACAGATAACAGAATTTTGCAAACAAGTGATTAAGTAAGCACAGTACAAAAGCAAGAATAATGTGTCTCAAAATGTGCTTTGTCTATTTATTTTTACAATACCTATTTAGCTTTAATAATTTGATATTTCATAACAAAATAGTAGTAAAGGTATCATACAATATTTTGCAGAAGTAATGATATTTAGTAACATGAAATCTCACAACAGTGCACTCCTATTAAAACTTTTCTGAGAAGAGGGAAGAGACCAATGTTTTAAAAGCAGAATGCAAATAATTAGACATAGCAAATTGTTTCAGGCCCCAATCCCACTCATTTTGGTTGTGCTTTTGAAAACAAGTACAGAAATGTTTGCAGATTTGACGGCTTAGTAAGTTCCACTGTATTTATTTTCCCTTTTTATTAGCATTTCCCTATTGTCATTTAATTAATTAATTTCTGCATTGCAGCTGATTGACTGAACTTGATTTATTTAGCAGCAATGCCTCTTCAGGTCTGTTACTGTACCTGGCCTTTAACAGCAACTCTGTTTGTTTAATGCTGACCACATTTTTCCATCTCATGCTTTAATTATCTACTCTCTCTCACATTCCCTCTCCTGTTTGCTTAATTCCACCTTTAATTAGACTAATATCAAAATAACAATTGCAATCTCTACATATATTTTTCCAAATTTCTCTCATTTTAGATAGAAAACATTTGAGATCTTCCCCCTATCCCCACATGTACTAAATTTAGAGGGAAACCCTAGAGATTGTACAAATTCTTAAGCATTGATCATTTTAATATAACTTCTGCATCCCTCTCTTTGTGTACTGTAATCTCCATTGGATTTTTCTTTCTGGAATTTGGAAGAGTTTGAGACTCTGAGAGTTCTTGGTTCCAAAGTTATTCTGTCTACCAAATGAGCCCCAGTCCATGTTTTATTAGTGTTACTTTAATTCCCTCAGCCTCCATAACCACCTTGTCTTGGGTTTTGTTTTGTTTTTTTCATGTGTTCTAGACTAGACTTCAGCCTGCTAATATAATGTCGATGGTGGAGATTTTGAATGATGGTGCTTCTATGTTTTTATGAAAAGTTTGAAACCTACTTTCCAGAATGGCTTTCATTTAATCTGTTCTATTTAGGGTGGCCAGACAGCAAATGTGAAAAATCGGGACAGGGGTGGGGGATAATAGAAGCCTATATAAGAAAAAGATCCAAAAATCAGGACTGTCCCTATAAAATCGGGACATCTGGTCACTCTAGTTCTATTAAACAATGTATCCACATGGCTTTTCCCCATGGCTTTTCCCCCATTCTCAGACAGCTCAAGCATTTCATGACGCGATTATCAACTGTTTGGCATGAACAGTGGCTAGAAGCTTATAAATAAGAGCAATAATTTGTAAACTGGAGCTCTTGTTGTATGCATATAGTCCAACTGATAGGCAGGCCGTAATGTCACTTGGTTGTTTTAATGTAAGATTTGGGGTAATTTCTGTCATTGGTTACATGCTGCAGAGGTTTCCATTGTCAGTGGGAGTCGCATGTTCATAACCAAATGGCAGAGTCTGACGTTTCTACGGGTACATTTTTTACAGTTAAATGACAGCCACACTTAACTGTTTCTCAAGTAGATTCAATTAATTCCCAAATACAAGAAGGCCTCAGTATGGGGAGAAAGAGTCAAAATTCTGGCTTGAAAAGAATACAGAAAAGAATGCATTGCACCTACAAACTTACCAAAACCTTTCTGTTTATCTGAACTGAAGTAACACCATTGCTATGAAAGGGCTGTGAGCTGAAAGAATATTCCAGGGAATAAGATGCATCCTTCATCCCACACTGCTTCTGAATTTCTTTATGCAACACTGTTACAGCTAGTAGTTTCTGAGATGGAGTATCCCAAATAAAAACAGTGCTGTCTGTCGTACAGAGTAGATGAAAACAAGGGGGTTGAAAACAGATGGTATTTTCTGCTTTAGTGTTTTAAATAAATAGAAGCACGTTAAACACCTGTGTTGCTTAATATTTGTTTTCTTTGGGAGGAGAGGAATCATTTTATAAGAGGGAGATTTATATTTTGCTGAAGATTAATGGACAGGGTATATTTGTCAGATAAGAATCTTATTGTCCATTTTTTCAATTCAGCTTCAGGATAAGCTGTCTGAAAAAGACAAGGAGCTGAAGACAATAAAGCTGGACTTAGAACTGCAAGAGAGAGCTACAGAAGCTAAGATTGCAGAAAAGACTGCAGGTACAGTAGACAAGCATTTAACAGATGGCCCTATGGATCATACAGTACCCACGGTTGCTATATGACGTGGCCTAGTGACTGTTAGCTATGTTTGCTAAAGGAGGGAAGGTTTGATTTTTTTTTTTTTTATGTGTGGCTGTTTAGAGTTGCTTAGAAAATAGGTGGCTTTAACATCCTGGTACTGGTATTAGTGAGAGCTTTACCTGTATTCATACTGATTTGGGCATTAAATGCATTGTTAACACCATGTCAATCCAATCACAAAAAAGGTTGTTTGTTTTGTTGGAAGGTCCTGAACAAACAAGAAGAAATAATGATTACCAGTGCCTCTACCTTTCAACCAGCAGTTCAAATACCACTTATTGTTTTAGCTTGTTCAGAGCAATACTACCCCACCCGCCCCCCCTTTGTATGGAGATAGTCACACATTCACCTCAACTGGAGACCTGCACTTTACTTGAAAAATCTGTTCTTCTGGTAGTTAATGAATTTTCATCTCTTGACATTGATGATGGTATGTCCCCAGAGGATGAGGTTTATAAAAGATTTCCAAAGTGAAAGAGTTTAAAAGTTTACAGTTGAAAGTGACTACTTTAAAAGAAATTTTAAGAACAATACAGATGTGCGTATATTTAACCATTGTTCTCTGGGTAGATATATAAAAAAAACCAGTTACTTTGTTAAGTTGCAAAAAGTTATATTTTAAGTAGAATATTTTTACATTTGACAAGTGATTTCTTATTATGTAGGCTGCTATGTGTTATATAGAGCCAGTACACCATGAGGCTATAATATTATAGAGAGACGATGTTTAGTACCTTAAAGAAAGATGACAATGTTCTTTTGAGATCTTTCTCTGTGTGATTTAAACAGTTAATTGCACCAGAATTTTATAAAATGCTTCACACAATTTATTCTCGGCCATATTTTATTAGGTTTAAGTTAGGTGCAAGGTGTAAAATTATGTGTCTAATGACCTGTCCCCAAGATATTGGTACTGAAAGGGAGATTAATCATCACCAGAAAAATAGTGGAAAAGAATATAAGTAACTCTTCAGCTGAAAAATCAGATGGCTGACTATCTGTTTAATGTCAAGCTCCTAAGAATACGATATTCTTTGTGTGTGTATCACAGATGGAAGATGAGGTTTATGGGGGTGAGGAGCTAGATAGTGTGAAACAAAATAAGAGAAATTCTGGATATTATTAAACTCTGCTAGTTTCTTTTTTTGAATGAACCCCCTTGTGTATATTCAGAAGAAACATAAATCTTCTGTATGTGTCATGATAACATGATAACATCTTTTGTTTGCACTAAATTCCAAGTTATCTGTTTGTTTTCTGGATGTTTGCATAGGGTCTTACCTATGTGTATATAATACAGAAATATTCTATTTAAAGTAAACCTTCATTGCTCATTAAAGCCTATAGGGAAAAAGCCCCTGTAGATATAAAATACATTGTCAAAATCCTAATCAGTTTCCTGTAAGGATAGGAAGAAACAGCTGTTGGCAATCAGTTCCCACCTTAAGTTTTTAATTTTCTGTTTACTTTAATAAATGTATTAATGATATCCTCTCCAGAAGGATATGACATGATATGATAACTAGATATGGACATAGCAGTAAACCATGCAAACCCGAATGTGAATCAAAGCTTTGAAGTTTTAAGGACATTAGGGCAACTTTTTAATAAATTTCCCCCCTCTCATCTTTTCTTTGTTTCTGCATCTCCTGGCTCTGTAAGAGCAGAAGTCTCTAATTGCTGGGAGACTGGGTGTCCTTTTATTTCTAGCCTGACTGGAAGGAGAAAGCCTCCAATATCTCTCGAGTGTTTGCATCCTGCTTGGTTTCAACTCCTAAATTTGGAGTGCTTATCCAAGTTATCTGAACCAAACTGAACTTGTGGAGGTTTGCCGATCTGTCTAATAAAAACTTCAGGCGCAGACCAACTTTATCATTAAAGAGCATAGTAATGAAGATTTAGTGTATTTAGACAAATGATATTTTTCATTCTGTTAAGTTCGTTGAGAAAAGGGGAACACATGGTGTTATGATTTCATGTAACTAGTTAATGTTTAATTGCTACTGTATATAACACATGGAGAGTGAAGCTTATAAATATGGGTGTTTGCATTCTTCCTATTGCTTAGTACTGACTTTGTGATAAGAAAATTACTCCAGAAAAGTACATTGTAAAAAGCATCACATAAAGACATAATAAAAACATTTACCATCTTCTTTGGGAGGGATTACAATTCACTTTTTAAAAATGAACCTTCCCATTTATATAAGGCCTTGCTGATTTAAAACCTGTGTCAGAAAGGCAGAAAAAGATACCTTATACCTAAGTTCCTCCTGTGCTGCTGACATATCGGGCAGTCCAGTTTCTGCATTGATTATGGTTACTTGCTAGTTGTGGTACTTCTTCCCAGGTGATGGCAATGTATTCAGTATTCTCTGTCACTTCTTATGCCAGTTCTTCCTTTGCCTTCCTTGCTTTCTCTTTCCTCTTTTGGGTATGCAATTCAGTGTTTGCTTAGCACATTTCCCATCTGCCATATGGTGTTCACGTCCCAACCACCTGAGCCTTCTTTCTTTTCTAACATGTCCTGCTCTGTCATCAGCCTGGTCCTTTAAAATCCTGGAACGGTTACTAAGTGCAATCTGGAATCAGATCTACGTTTCTTTGTCCTTGAACTTTTCTCTTGCTAGAACACTGTCTGTCTGTCGTCATGATCTTTGAGTTTAAGTTGTAATGTGGACACTAAAATATAATAATCTGAGCCAACATCTGCTTCTCTGCTGACTCTGACATCCCTCAAAGAATATAGCCCATTTTTGATACACACATGTGGTCTGTCTGGTGGATAGTTGCATTGTCTCGTGATCTCCGTGTGACTTTGTGAATCCTCTTGTCCTCCTATCTTTAGGGTGTTTGTGCCACTGAGAATCGAGAGTTATTCGTCATTATCAGTTTGGATGCCTTCCGCTGCTCTGCCTGTGACTACTTCCCAGCCAGTAGTTGTTACCAATTTGTGCATAGAAGTCACCTATCATCAACTTGATTTTGTGGATAGGCACATCATCCAGTTCTTGCTGCACCTGCTCATAGAATGTATCTATTTCACTGTGGCCTGCTGTGTTTGTTGGTGCATATACTTGTACAGGTGTAATGTCTTGTTTGCAGCATGGCTGTCGTTATTCTGTCATTCACTGCCTCCCAAGTCAGCAGAGTGTTTGCTGTGATTTTATCCAGCATAATTCCTACACCTGAGTATAAGATTGTAGTACTATCAAACACCATCTGCCACTTCCTGCCCATATCATTTCACTGATATTAAGTATGTTCATATGGTATTTTCTCGTTTCTTATGTAACTTGTTCTAGTTTTTCTGTACTATACAAAGTTCATAATTCCACATGCCTGTTCTTGTGATAAATTTGGTCATCAGGATTCGATGTCTTGATTCTAGCTTCCTTTTGGCTTTCATTGAGATCTGTCATATTTGGGTTTTAAGCTCCATTTGCATCTACCATTCCCGGTTTTTGGTTTAAGACAGGGGTGGGCAAACTACAGCCCTTGGGCCACATCCAGCTCACTAGCAGATTTAATCTGGCCCTCGAGCTCCCACTGGGGAGCGGGGTCTGGGGCTTGCCCTGCTCCTGCACTCCAGACAGGAAGCAGGATCAGGGGCCGCTCTGTGCACATGTGCCGTGGCTCTGTGCAGCTCCCGGAAGTAGCGGCATGTCCCCCATCCGGCTCCTATGCGTAGGGGTAGCCAGGGGGCTCCGCATGCTGTCCCTGCCCCAAGCGCCACCCCCGGAGCTCCCATTGGCCGGGAACTGTGGCCAATGGGAGCTGTAGGGGCAGCACCTGCAGACAGGGCAACACGCAGAGCCGCCTGGCCGCACCTTTGCTTAGGAGATATGCTGCTGCTTCTGGGAGCTGCTTGAGGTAAGGGCCACCCAGAGCCTGCACCCCTGAGCCCTCTGGTGGCCCAACCCCCTGCTCCAGCCTTGATCCCGCTCCCACCCTCCGAACCCCTCAGTCCCAGCACGGAGCACCCTCCTACACCCCAAACCCCTCATCCCCAGCCCCACCACAAAGTCTGCACCCCCAGCTGGAGCCCTCACCGCCCTCCCCGTGCCCCAATCCCCTGCCCCAGCCCGGAGCCCCCTTCCATACTCCAAACCCCTTGGTCCTAGCCTGGAGCACCCTCCTGCACCCCAAACCCCTCATCCCCAGCCCCACCCCAGAGCCCACACCTCCAGCTGGAGCCCTCACCCCCCACACACACCCTAACCCCCTGCCCCAGCCTGGAGCTCCCTCCTGCACCCTGAACTCCTCATTTCTGGTCCCACCCCAGAGCCTGCACCCCCAGACAGAGCCCTCACCCCCTCCTCTACCCCAACGCCAATTTCATGAGCATTCATGGCCTGCCATACATTTTGCATACCCAGATGTGGCCCTCGGACCAAAAAGTTTGCCCACCCCTGGTTTAAGAGAACTGTTTCTGTTACTGTAATGCTTTATCTGAGTGGGTTGTAAACCCAACTGCAGAAGCCTCCTTTTTTATCTACACTTGGGACTGCCACTGTTGCTAAAAAGAGAGCTCATTTTTAAATGGAAATTGCCATAGAGTTCAGCAGCAAATAACCCAAAGCTTGTCACTTTATACTTTTCATTTCTAGAGCTTCTAAAGAGGAAAAGCAGAAATATCTGAGGGGTTGATGGGAGAATAACAAAAGATGAAGTAAAAAAGAGTGAGGAAAGAAACACAAGGTGTGTGTTTGTTGTCATAGATATAAGAAATAACGTACTGTCAAATATAGTCTTTATCATTCCTTTTTACAGCCCAGACAGTGAGTTTCAACCTCTGTCTTGGGTTCCCGTCTCTGCCCCAAGTAACTGGGACTGAGAATAGGGGAGAATTTTGTTGTTGTTGCAGTTCTTTGGCCACTAGAGGTTGTTATTCCTGCTGCTTCTGCTTGCCATAG